AGCCAACGAGCTTTCTCCGCCTGTAAACTGGACACTGGACATTGGACCTGAAATTGTTTCAACGGCCTGATCTATTAATGCCGGTTACGGCGGCTGATTGAATGGAAATGCATATGTCAACCAAGGCGGCGAGTAAAGTTGTGAAGCAGCTGGCCGGTAGTGGAACCGGCCAGAGTTTGATGGATAGAGTTACACAAGCCAAATATAGTCTTGCCGGTTCCGGTTTGGGAAAAGTAGTCGCAAAAGCAACTACGGAGGAAATCGGTGCACCGAAGAAAAAACACATTGACTGTAATAACTAGTGTTTATCTAAATCTCCTTAGACCTTATCAATTGTAGTAATGAGCCGAACGTTTCGATTCCACTCTTGGCCGGTCTTCTAGTGGAGAGGACCCAAGAGAAATCGTGGGTGATCGTTTTTAAGGCACTTATCACAACGCATAACCTAATGAACTTTGGAAATGAAGTAATCACTCTATTATTTTTATATCCACTCAGAAATTCTCACATTATCTTGCTTCTAATAACTGCCCACTCCATTTGCCAAATTTCAATGACAAAACGAGTGCCCAGTGTAAGTTTTTTTGTAACCACTTTTCAGGCTTATCTCTTCTGAATGTGCAGCATATGAAATGTCTTTGTTCATTCGCCGGTATTCTCAATACATAAGCGAAAAAACGGCTTCCTACAGGGCAATGGCTTTTGACTTTTGTAAAGTCAAACGCGGGTGAGTGTCTGTAACCCATTATTTGTTCACTCCCAGTCATCACAAGGGGACACCCGACCGTCCTTTAAGTGCTCCCTTTGAGAAAATTAATTAAAATCTCTCGAATCATCTTGATACGCTGTTTTAATCAACGGCACACCTGAAATCGTTCTGATAAAGAATTTGGATCTATGTATTTCATACAATTGCGAGAATTTAATCTCAAGTTTGTTGTTATTGGTTCGAAGTCTTTTCTATTAAAACAATAGATCATGATTGTTTATTCATATCATAGCATTTCACTTTCTGCCGAATGTTGGCTATCGGCTTCCAAAAGTATTAACACTAATTTTGTCCACTCCTATTTTATGATAGACACGTATCTAAGTTCAGTTCAGTTCAGTTTGCACAGGGCGATCTTGCGTCCAGATTGATGTGTTGTTGGCTGTTCTTGTGGCTTCCAACACTGCGACTCAATAGGTTTTTTTTCTGAAGTGGTCTGGAAAGGTCTTATAAGACCTATAGGTTAAAGGTTTCAGCCAATAAAAGATCCTCTTCATTCATCCTTCTCTTTAAGAAACAGTCAATTTGCTGAAGAAGCACCTTAGTGATATTTATAATGAATCAGTTCGCTTAGCAATAATTGATCTTAGAACGACCTAAGGTACATGAAAGTCTGCTTTCGATAGAGGTCACTGAATGCAACGAAATGCCATTTGCCGTTTATTTCGAAACCATTATGTGTTCTGCGGACGGTTTCTTAGCGAAACTTTTTCACTGGAACGGTAAAGAGTAAATCACTCTTTTACGTTCCTCAAGTTAGACTTTCAGGGACCTTTAAAAGTTAGGTCAGGTCAACGAACTGTTGGCTTCTGTCACGGAACGTCCAGTGTCTTGCAGCTGTGGACTGATGGTTCCAGCTATAGTCCCACAATAGTATGTACTCACAAGGAAAAAGATGAAAAGCACGATCACCCTCGGCTAATCAGCAATCTCAGACATCTAAAACCGCACCTTTAGAGAACTGCTACATCTAAAATCAAAGCTAACCAAGTGTTGTGAGTTAATATGGTAGTCATACATGAGTTGTGTACTAAGAATGACAATGTGATAGGGAAGAAGTTGGGTAAGGGGTGTGGTTACATAACTGTAAGACAGCAGTCAGTTACTCTGGGAATACCTCTTCCCAGCAGTTGTCTAGTCTTCGTTTGGATTAAACGACACGTCGCTGCTGCTACTGCTTTTGTTTGTTTATTCCACTCAGTTACCATGGTACGGGGAAAACTGTGTCTTAGAGCTCCCGTTCACCCCAGATTCCATGAGAATCAGTTCATAACCATTCCGAGCTGGATCTCGATTGAGCCTAAATAATGGTCTCTCAGTTACTTACAGTCCCTCATAGTTGCTTAAACGTTTCAATGAAATATCCCCCCCGAAATCGCGGCAGAAAAATGAAAACAGTCCGAGAGCCGTCTGTCATTTCTTGTAGGATCCCTCTTGAAGCCTGA